TAGATCCCGAATGACTTATTTTTGCAAATAGACTTTGCTCTCATACTCTTTTAAGTACTTTCGGAAGAAAAGATTCGAAAACCAACAAAATCGATTGAAATAACTATTCAATATTCTTGTTCAGAATTATTCAAAAATTGCTGTTGTTTCTTGCTGGATAACTATACGCTGATACCGTTTTTTGTTCCAAAAGTCCCGAACTGGAAAGATGAATTAGATGTGTCTCTCCAATCCGCTTCGTTCAGCAACATCTCTCTCTGCTGCCGCGAGAGGAGAAGAACAAAAACGCTTCAACTCGACAGCTCATTCGTCGGCGAAGTGTAAGTGTACGCGCATGCTCATTGAAGATCTTCGTCTACTACCTCAGTTCATCGCTTCCTCCACCAGAAGCCAGTTCGTACTTCCAAAAGTGAGGCAACGTTCAATTAATGCTGAGTAAGTCAAGCCATGTGGCTTGAAACTAATATGTGAAAAATATCACAAACATTCAGAGTCATAAAAACAATTTTAAATATCAGAGTTCTCCAAAACTGTGACGTCCCGCTCCTGTTTAAGGTATTATTTAACGTTTAAGTGTGTGTATATATATTTAAGAAACGGAACCGGAATTGTTGCCAGTTGATGCCATAAGTTGACGAAGTTGTTCGGCTTCTTTCTACAGACGGTATGGAAGTGCATGTGACCTGGCACGACTGGTCGATATTTTGATTCATAAACAGATGATGCGTCAGTGATCTGTATAACACGTGCTTCTAAACGCATTTGATGAGTTACGCAATAATCGTCGATGAGCCGGTGTGTCTGTGTTGTTGATCTAAATATATTTGTGCGAAGCCAAAAGTAGCGATTTTGCCGCTCAGTTTCAAGTTTCTGCAAATTTAATTTGAATTATTGGATATCTACATTACGGTTCTTTAATATTCACCAGAAAGGTATTTTTCGTATATATATGAATACTGAATTTGGTGTTAACACATGTGGAATGGGTGTTCCTTAACATCATTTGAAATATCGAGTAATATCGTCAATGAGATATTCTGACTTTGTCTTATAACGTTTAAATTCAAATTGATTTATCACAGTTAATTTGTAGAATATAGCAATAATACTAGTAGTAATATATATTGTAAGATAGGTAATTGTTTTTTAATGATTTCCGAATAATCTAACATATTTGTATTATACATTCCATTCCCAAGAGCAAATCTTTCCAATTTAAAAATATTGTATACATTTTACAGCTTATATAAGGAAGAAAAAATCTAAAATAAATTTTAAAAAAAAGGTCTCAAAAATCTCTTCAAGCAGGGAAAAGTACTTTTAGTATATTTTGACAGAAAATATTTTAAAACAAAGAATATTTTCAGACTGCAATAGTTAGAAGACTTACATTTTGGATTATTGTTGATATTATCCTTAACATTTGTCTACTCGGTATTAATTAATTAAATGTCATTATAACTAACTTATTATAAAATTTATGCGGTGTTGTTTATACACGATTGATTATTAGAAAAATCCCAACCTATCTTACTGCGTTTAAGATAATATTTAAATTTTAATCTTATAACTAAAATTATATATAAAATTTTGATGTTTAACAATTTTTGATGCAATTTTCTTCATATCAAATTTCTATCGTCCTTTTTAAAATAAACTTGGGGGCAATTGCCCTTTAATTATTGCATACAAAATATTTTTTACACTACACAGAGGTTAAATATTTTAGCTCCTCTAGAGCATTTAATTCTAAAGTGGTCCATTCAGCCAAACAAATGCACAAATTAAAAGCGAAGCTGTTAGATTTTATGAAATTTCGGAGATGTATTTTTACACATCATGGTGGTTATTGCTTCGAAATTTGCATCAAAGTAAGGATATATAGAACTGTTTATATTTTACGATGCTACATATCTTTACGCTTCTAAACTTTAACAAACTAGAATAGATAAAATTAAGCTCCTTTATAACTGAACAATTATTTTGGAGTAAATGCACTTCATAGTTACATGTATAAAATTTTCGTCTTTATAAAAGTTGAATTATTGCACGCATGTGCACAAATATTAATTTTAATAGTTTTCCATTATACCTTTAATCTGCTACATCACTTTTCTTTTTTGAAATAAAAAAAAAAGATCTTTAGTAGTCATTGGATATTCTATAGTAAATATTACACAAAAGCATAAAATATTGAAATATCTTATTTATATATGTAGTTTAGAAGTAGCATTATCTAATTTTGCAGTTACACGTTCAATATATTTGCCATTGTTCCATACATAAATAGACGCATTTCAATAAACACAATATACACTGTAAGCTTCATTGCCTAGGTAGCACTATGATATTTTGTAGTGAATAGTACTATTTTAAGCAGATCTTATTCATTATATAACCTGAAAATATTATGTAGCTTTAGACTAGAAACATTCATATATATATATGCATATATATATTTATATATTTATAAAATATAATAATCCCATATATTGCTTACTAAAGTCATCTTATGAATGCTTGTAGTTATAGTAGCAGTCATTATATTTGAAACTCTAATGAGGATAATAATATAAATAAATATGTGCAAATAATTTAGTTGATGATGCTCTTATGAAATGAATAACCATTTTAAGGCCTTCAGCTTTAAGCAAAAATAATACATTATATCATTATCGGAAAAAATAATATAGAACAATAATTGCTTACGTGTGAGTCTTTTATTATAGTTGTACTGAATATAATATTGTAATTTTTAAGTTTCTGCGGAGAAAATTTATAAGACTCAGAAAGAATTTTGTTGGAAGCAATGTTATTTGTGATAGGCTTAATGTTCAACAAAGTAAATCATTTTTGACTGTTTCGTATAAAATAATAATACACTGTTTAACAAAAAAAGCAATATATTTGACAATTATTATCATGAATTTACGTATATCATAACTGAGAGCTTTGTAACTGTGAACATATGATAAGAAAGTTCAAAACCCACTTTTTGAAGAAACATTGCCTGCATCATAACTATATATATAATATTCAGAAGCATTTGCAGCATAGTTATATATACCGCAGTTTTGTGAACTAAAGAAATATTTATATTGTAAAATATGTGAACACTATCCATCCTGAAAAAAATCTGCTTCTGAATTAATATTACATATCATTGAGAATTATATTGTGGTTAAACTTCTCTTACGATACCTATACTAATAATATAATATAAGTAATAACCTTTTTCAAAGCAGTGAAGAAACATTATAATTAATCATGAGGTTCTTCACCGCTAAAGATTTAAAACTCATTAAAGTATAAAACAGTGCGTGCGTGAGATATACATATGTTCGAACTATTATTTAATATGAGATATATGTATTGTTCTTATATTCTTTTATAACGGAGAATGCTTAAAGATTCTTTTGCTGTCTGAGTTGGCAGTGCTATTGTAAATCAAGAACATGCATTGCAATATCATTGAGTACATAACGCTATTTCTTTATGACGCAGTCAAAGAATATATTTAGTAAGATATATTATACTAACATCTAAATGCTGATTTCTTTCTGATCCTAACGAAGTTTAGAATTACAATGATAAATCAAGTAGATAAGTTTATGAAGATTTCGAATAAATGTGAAGGTAAACTCTAGGAAAGAGGATCGACTGGTATTCTTGGGTAATTTAAAATTGAAAAACATTTGTTGATATTTCTTTGTGCAATTTTATCTTTTTTCATTTATACAGATTAAAAAGCATGCTGTTGTGCTGATGTTATTGATGGTATCTATTTTTAAAAACTGAAATTGAGACATATATAGGAATGTTATTTGTCTACGAGTAAGAACGAAGCCCCAAAGAATCTTAACTGTTGCCATTATAAAAAGCAAAACACCTAGCATAAAGCGGTGTTAAATGTTCTGAACATTTGAGTCAAGTTCAAAAGGCTTCATTTCTAATAATACTTCGATATAGCTGCAGTTATATGTACAGATATCAAAGATATTTCATCTGGTATGAGAAATGATTATTTTATAAGCTGCAAAGAATTTAACGTACAATTTAATGAGCTTCGAATGAGTTTAAGATAAGAATACCGAGTTTAAGAGAAAAAAGTGCTACATATGTTTTGCTCGTCAAATTTATATCAGCTTCTTGTAGCCTGCGATTACTTATATTTCTAAAGCGACAACAACACGGAAGGTATTACTCTATATTGCTTGCAACTGATATTTTATTCCTTTAGTGATATATCTATTAGTAGCAAGCATTGCACTGTATATCTACTTATAATTGTAAACTGTATAACGCGGTGTCAAATCACATTGATAGTGTTATAAAGAAGTGCCAATTACTATATCTATCTTGAGCATTTCAAAATACATATTTTTTAAAATTAACCCTGCTTCTAGGTTTAGCATATGCCTAAGAGAATAATAAATTTTTAAACCCAATATATGAGTATTTAGGTAACAACGCGTACTCTTCACCAAAGTTGAAAAGTTTAAGGAGAATTTTATTGAAGATTTAGCTGCGTTAGTTTTCTAAAAGTACCGCAATTTTCAGGCTAGCAATTATATAAATATGAGCTTATAAAACGCTGTTTCTACAATGCTTGTTATTAGAATTTGTCATTAACAATCCTATCCGCCCCAAATATCATCAAAGCCACTGCTTAGATATTTATATCAAATCTGAAATTTAATATAACTCTTGTTTTCTATTAATCAAAACTTGTAATATTTTATCATCTTATTATAAGTTATTACAGCTATGATATCTTCTGCTATATTAGAAAACATATAGGAAAATACTTTAACATTTTGCATGTAACATATAATTTTTTATAGTGGTTATTCTAGAAGAGCGCAATCGTACTTGTTTATGAAACATATGATAAAGATATCCTGTAAGGGGTGTATTACTTTACTATTTTGACACTGCAAAGTAGATTATAAAGCCTGTGCATAGATTCTTCACTGCAGTTTCTGTATTAAGAGAAGCTAGAATTTAGATAACTCTTGAATCTTTATTTGGAGAGCTCTTAATAAATTCATTGTATTAAAATAGCAACTGATAATTAAGTTTTACAGGTAAAAGTTTGCCAGGCCAGTGAATATTTTAAAACATGATTGCATAAGCAATTGAATAACCGAATAAACATAGGTGGAATTATATTAAGCAAGAATAGAAATTGAGAATTAAACAATTTGCATTTTAAGCATAATAGAAAAGATTTTTAAAAACAGCAAAAAAAATAATTGAAGGAAATGGATGAGCCCCAACCAGGTCCGAGTCACGCGCCTATTCCTGTTATCAAACAGGACACCGTAACTTCGGAAGATGATAGCAGTTCCATACCATTTGCTGATAGCCCAGATTCCCCACCTTTGGTAGGGATTAGAAAAGCCAGCGTTGCCGCCCAGCATAATCTTCACGATGGCATCATTTTATTGATAACAAGTGACACAGAAAGTCAAAGATCACCCAACGGTTCCATCGCTCAGCACCCGTTGTCTGAGTTCTACCTGTTACCTCTGCCTCAAGACGCATTGAGTTCGAATAGGAGATACTCTCTCCAGGACAGGAGCGGAAAGAACCACCATATTCATCCCGAAAGAAAAGCCTCCTGCCCAGACGCTGAACTTCACTTGAGTCCTGACAGAAGCCGAAGAAGCAGCACTTGTAGCCGAAAATCAGAGTTGGATATCAGTAAAGATCGGTTGACTCCTACTTCCTTCTCCAGCAGACGCTCAAGTAATGCAAGCGTTTGCCATTCCTCATCACGTAGATCTTCAAACTGCAGTTTGGCGGGCCATCATAGAAGGAGGTCCAGCAACTGTACCAACTGCAGTCGCCGATCGAGCACCAGCAGCGTTAGTCACAGCCGACGATCTAGCACTGCAAGCCATAGGTCTAGCCCAAGTCACTGTAGTCGAAGGTCTAGCAACTGCAGCCGCCGATCTTCGCACTTCGACTCGGATGAGGAATCTTTCCTACACCAGCATTCCTCCCATCACCACCACCACTGTCACAGAGGATCACGTTCCAGTTTAGATCCTCTACATCGCGGATCCACCGCATCAGTAGATATTGGGGGAATGAGAAGAGGATCACACCTTCCTTCACCCCAACAGCAGAAGGAAGAGCTGGACGAGCAGGAGGAGCTGGAGATGGGCGGCATTCCTGCAAGGCATCGCAGGATTATCATCATGATTATAGGATCCGTGTCCATCTTCATCCTGGTCATGTCTGTTGTCCTCATCGCAGTCTCACTGACCTTGTCACCGACCATTGATGATCTAGGTAAGTCACTTTTTAAAATTTAATTTATAACAAAAATCGAATTATATCATTGTAAGTAGACATCAGCATAAAAGTGTATAAATCGTAAGATGAGTATAAAAACGGTGGTCTGCTTTATCTGCATACAACAAATTTCTCTGAAACTTACGTTGGTTAGTAGTATGAATTAAGAGTTGTATAAGCTTAATATCACGTACAAATTGTGTTATTTTTTTGAATTTTGATTCTTAAAACAAAATCTATCTGTTCACCTGGATGTATCGACTTTAGTTATGTATCAAGCTTAAGCGATATCTACTAATACTAAAAATTGAATTTAAATATCTTCACAAATTTGCTGACAACTCAGATTTTGTACATCAGGTATAGTTTTGTAATTTTAAAGACTTTTTGGAAACTTTTTTGGATTCATTTATAGATTAGTTAAATAAGTTTAATTAATGTAAAACTTAAATTTTTAATTTTTAATGGTAAGTTTAATTAATGTAAAAATGGTAAGCATTGTCTTAGTTTCCAGCATAAGCATAATTTTGAATCTAGTAAGTGATATGTAAGAGTAATGAATAATGCCTCTTTTGAATACTTAGTTGGAAACTCAAGGAACGCTTATTAATTATAGAAAAATGAAAAAGGTTTTAACAAAAATGTAACTTTTACAAATTTTGACTTGAATAAAGACCTTTTACGTATTTTGAATTTCGTAAGGAAAATGAAACGCAGCTTTGCAGCTATAAAATTTCATTTTTTTCAAACTCAAGTTAAAAGATAGTAAATGCAATCTCAATTCTCTGAGGTGATTAGAAAAGGAGGAGATTAATATGAAGAAATTACAAGACCTAAGTTTTAAAACTTGCTTTTGTTTCTGAGCTTAAAAATTGATGACATTAAAATTGGTAATATTTCTTAATAAATGTAGCTGTGCTTTGTTGCTAAGTGCTATACAGCATGAATTTTCAGTAAATATTACATTAATGGAGTTTTACGAAATTTGATTATTATAGCAAAATAATGTGATCTAAGAAATCTCCCATTATTACGAAAATTAATACTGTAGTGATAACTGCGGCTTACAGGATTATTTTGATGTTTCAATAACACTTTTCTATTGCTGATGGATAGTAATTTTACGCAACTAAATTTCGAAGAAAAACTGTGTGCGCCCATTATAACAACATTTTTCGCTTTATAAGATATGCACCGTGTTCTCTTTCACGTTTTTTACGGATTACCTACCAGTGTGTACCTATGTACGAACATACACATGTTAACTATTCGTATGTGCTACAAAAATTTCAAGAGACTATTTTTATAATGTATATTATGCGTAACAATAAATATTCGGGAAAATACATTTTTTACAATTAATAATTTACAGAAAAGATATATTTTCTTTACTCAGAAAACCATTTCAGCACGAATGACAACAGTTCGAGCCAATAAGTGCAATATTATTAGGCTAATAAGGTCAAAATTATTTTCTTATAAAAAGAAAATTCTGTTTGCATAATAATCCTTTTAAGAATGACATATTATTCGTTTAATAGCAATAATAAATTAATATTTAGTTTTATAGATATATTTATAGAAAGGCAATGAATGGGATAGAGTTCTAAAATTATTTCAGTCACATTGTTTGTGTCGCTAGATATTAATATGGTGTCATTGCATGGTGTATATAAATTTTACTTAAAAACTAATAGAACAAAAAAAATGTTAGATGGCAATATGGTATTAAGTTTTATAACATATAAGACTTATTTTCTAAAGGTGTATATGTTACTCCTTCTTAATAGCCTATCAAAGGGGAAACATGTTGCTGTATGATAAAATTGTAATGCTGTGATTTCTCCTTGTTTACGAAAAAATTATGTTTTTTTTCACTTGAAGAGTAGTGAAAAATCTTTTCAATTAAAATATAATATTTTTTGGCGTGTTAAGTGAGGTAACAATTTCAAACAATCGTATTTTTTAAATATACTGAAACTTGTAAAAAAGAAAACGATTTTGCAAGAAAATGTGACACGGTCGTTAACTTTAATCGTTTCTTTTCTAATGACCGATATAAATGTTGCTATTTCATTCCAATATTGCTGTTACTTTTTTATATTAATAACATAAATAGAAACTAAACAAATATGAGATTGTAGTACATAAGTACTATGTAAAACAGAGACTATGTGTAATACGTATGATTGAGATCAATTTGAATTGATACGTCATATAAGTACGACATTATCAACATTTAATAAAGCAATAAAAAGGAATTATTTACACTATTGCATGTTAAATCTGTATTACTAAAGAACATACTGTAAAATGTATTGTAATTTATAGCACACTCGCTCTTGTGCATATGAAAGTAATGAATTTTAAAACTTTAACTTAATTCGAAATGGAATAATTGAGAATTGGGGAAACAAAGTCCTTATATATTTCAACATAACATATATGATCAAAACGTTTTCAAAGTAGGGTAGAAATAAGAATTTTTCATTTTTTTGGGGCACTAGTGATAGTCTAGAAGTTTCGAGATATCACTAACATTACTATATAACATTTTGTGGCCCTTATTCACATAAACCAGCACTTTAACTGCAAAAAGGCCTTAATACCAATTTCTAACAGTAATAAGGGGAATACTAAAAACAGGAGTGGAAGAAAACGTAGGAGCTGTGAGTACGGAGATAATGTTACATGAAGCAGATTCCGATCACTAAGAACCACAATTTTCTGCTAATGTATTTATGTCAATCAGTCTGGGTTGCGAGCTTGTAGTCTGAAAAGTTTCTTGTAACATGAGTGCTCCGCAAAGATCATTTCCATTCCACGTATTTAGTTCTTTCAAGTCCAACGAAAGCGCACGTACTTAAGATAGCATTGACCATGCTTGAATCTCTAGATTTCGCTTACATTACGGACTATTGTCGCTTTCCTAACGGACTATTCCCAATTTGCAAGTCCAAGCGAAAGTATACGGGCTTAAGAAAATAGCATTGGCCATGCTTGAATCTCTAGATTTCGCTTACATCACGGACTATTGCCGCTTTCCTAACGGACTATTCCCAATTTTCAGGTCCGACCGAAAGTATGCGGTCTTAAAGAGATAGCATTGGTCATGCTTGAATCACTAGATTTTGTTTACATTACGGATTACTGCCACTTTCCTAACGGAATATTCCCAATGTTCTACCTGCCTCTTTCAATCGCAGACTCCCCGTCAGTGGATACACGGCACTACTATAATGCACGATCTATCTGTGAATTAAATGTATTATTTAGTTGCAATTAAGCCTACAAATTCGGAAAGAATATGGCTTAATTTTAATATTTTCAATTAATAGGCATTTTGCACTGCAGATGGATTTATTTATTTTTAATTTATTAGGAAACAAATTTGATGTTAATACCAATTATGACTTCGAAAACATATGATTTAGTAGTGTATATAGAATTTCTGCAGATGAAAATAGTTATATTATTTAACTAATCGTTAAGCTGTTCAAAATTATTAGATTGAAATTGCTTGTAGAATAGTAAGACTGCAAAAAGCAAATTCGTAAACGGGCTATATATAAAATTAACCAGTATCCAAATAACATAAATCCAAATAGCATTTCCTCTGTCGATTATCTATATATTATTAGCAGCTTAAATGGTAAATAATACGTTTATCGTGTAGTGTAATGAACTATTTCTAATGTCTTAAAGTTGCATTTGAAATACATTCTACATGAAAATAAAATACCTATAAAGGGTTTTATCTTTCCTTTTTGATGTGTATTTTTATATGTCTGGAGTATTCAGAGTTTTTTATTCGTTTAATCGCAATCCGTAGTTAAAATTATTTCCAGTCTGAAATTTTACCTAAAAACATTCATAATTTCTGGCGAATGCGTTTGTATATTGTGAAAATGGAAATATTCTCAGTCTCTTTGAAATTTCAAATTTCAAAATATGTGCATAAAATGTTTCGTCTTTTGTGTAGATTAGTGGATGGAAACGTGTATTTATGTAATTAAAGTGAGCTTTAATTTCATCAGAACTTTACACAATTAATCGTTTCACCGTTCTATTTGTGGAACATTTTGCACCGAGATTTTCAGTATTTAAATCCGCATAATTTTATCACACACGTTTGTTATCTTAGATATGATATTTTATATAATTATATGAAATGATATTTTATATAATTATATGAAATTATATTTTATATAATTATATGAAATTATATTTTATATAATTATATGAAATTATATTTTATATAATTAATATGATGATATTTATATAATATATATATATATACGTAAGTAATAATCTGTTATTTTTAGTTAGCATAAAATCAAGTACCAATTCTGCTTGTTATACATACAGATTATTTTCGCAGCTTTCAAAGGAGATTTTTATAAACGTTGCATATACCTTAACCCTTTGACGCGCGCGATATTATTTTTATAATTTTTTTAACTAAAAACTCTAGAAATTGAATATTATGATCCTAGAGACTAATAATATGAATTAAAAAAAATCTACTCTTGGCCATTGTTTTGTGGGTAGTGGTCGCACTGTGAAACCACCGCGCGTCTAGGAATTTGAAACTTACTGATGTAGTAAGTAAAATAACTTACCATTTTCCGTGCGCGTTTCCAATAAATGACGAAATTTACGGATTTGAAAAAAATGTACGTAAGAATTGCAATTTATATAATTTTTTTACATTATTTTACAAAGTAAATAGTCAGAAAAAATTAAAAAATGACCATTTATGTAATTTTTCTATAACAGTGAAAATATAAGTACCTACATAATAAGGACATTTGGATAAATGGATTAAAAAACTCAATAAAATAAAAATTAAAAAGAACTCTTTTTTTTAATTTTCAAAGAATTTTTTTTAAAATTTTCAAAGATTTTTTTTTTTTTTTTTTTTTTTTTTTTTTTTTTTTTGTGGCACTGTTCAAAGCATGTTTTGTCTCTTTGGTACATGCATAGACCCACATTGC